AAAGCAGAACAAATCTAAATTATTTTTGGCAAGTCACCTCAATAAAAAATGCCTTTTATTCTAACAGGGTCCATCCTGTCCCTTCTTGCTCAGTTCAGCTGCAAGTGTCAGTGCATTGGAGGTTGAGACACTCACATGTCACTTCACTGTCTGTACATCACTCCAAAGTCAATGTGACAAAAATAAACTTTAGCTGCATATAAAGTCCAGGGAGGTTGACCAACTGTCCTTGTACAGAGTTGTTTGACAACCATCCCGTATATTTTCTCTTTAGAACTTATGGGGCAGATCTGTAGGAGGAGCTCTTACATGCCCCCTCTTACTCGTGTCACCTCAAAACCTTTGGGTATGAACTTGAGACCTGGTCCTCTCACTTCCACCTCCCATCTGGTTTCTGGGGAATGCGCGTGGTGTGTCTGACTGATATTGAAATCCCATGCAGTGTCTTTGGGGACCATATTGTATGCTTATGAATGGTTTAAATATCACTGTTGGCCAGGGACTTTATGCAACTCCAACAGAATGGGGAGGGTTACTGCAGCTCCTCCAGGAACTAAAAACAATGGTGGTGGTGGTGGTGGGTGATTAACGTGAATCTGGAAAACCCAGTTTGAACCAGTATATGCACACCTCCCGGGAGTGGCATCTTTCTGGGGTTGTTAACTACCTGAGTGATTAAGAACATAAGAATGGCCATATTGGGTCAGACCCATATTGGGTCCATCTAGTCTAGTATCCACTGTAGAAAGACAGTAGCCATTCCTGTGTTCTTAATCACTAAGATAGTAAAGTTTCAGAGCAGCAGCCGTGTTAGTCTGTATCCGCAAAAAGAACAGGAGTACTTGTGGCACCTTAGAGACTAACAAATGTATTAGAGCATAAGCTTTCATGGACTACAGCCCACGAAATAGTAAAGACCTCCAGAGAGGTACTTCCCACTGGGAAGGTATGCATATACCAATTCAAACTGGGTTTTCTGGGGACCAACAGACAAAGTAATGGCTTTTGATATAAAAAGGCTGCATTTAAACCGACTAAGGACTTTCTTTCTGATCCAGCAAATGGAAAGAACATCCTGTCCATGGGCAGCCCCAGTGGTTGCTGAAGCTTGGGAAGACTTTGGCCTACTAGGGCCCCATAAGACTGATGGGTGACCCTGGTATGTTCAGTGTGTATTTAAATCTGTTTATTGTTTTAATATGTTTTTCTCTGTAATGCTTTTACTTTTAAGAATAAAGTGCTTGCTTAGAAAGAGTTGTGTGATAACTTGTAACTGCTTGATAGCCCTCAGAAAGAGAGAGAGGAAAGCACAGGTGCTGACCTTTAGGTAGACTGCTTGCTGGGGATATCACAGTGTAAAGTAGGGAGCTGTTCAGTCTTAAAACCCTCGGTCAGAAGGGAGTGGGGCAAGGGTCCCTGCCCAGAAACAGGTGATGCCTGGAGACCTGAGACCTGACTGGGAAGTCCTGGAGTGGACCACAGAGGAGAGGATACAGGTGCAGTTAGCTGAAACTGTGACCGTTAGTATTTATATAGTGCTCTACACACTTAAAACACAGTAACATTAACGAATGGATTCTCTCCACCTTCTTGCGAGATAGGTATTTAAGCATTATTATCCCCACTTTTTAGACTGGGAAACTTGAGGCAGAAAGAGATGACTTGCCCAAGGCCACACAGCAACACGTCACTGGCCAAGTCAAGATTATAATTCAGGACTGCCTTACTCCAGCCCTCTGCTTATTGCTTCCAGACACACTGGCTCCTCTAAGGGAGTTGCTTTTAAAGTAGGCCTTGCTTCTGGTCACAGCTTAAAATTCTCACTTTTCATGTTTTCTTTTTTTATCACAAGTGTCTTTATTGTACATCTGCATACACTGTCTTTTGCTAGTAGGGTAGCAGACCATGGGTCATTGTGGTTCCTAGATATAAATATAAATGTGGTCCTGGTAAAGAGTTTCTTATGAAGCTTGAGTACCATAATTGCCGGTGACTTAAGTGATGGTTTAATTTGAAATTACAGAGAACAACAATTAGTGATTCCCTGGAGAAACTGCAGTACCCAAATGTCTTTTACTTGCATTGCTGGTCTGCTGGCATTGTCTTCCTCTTGAGTTCAGTTTTCCACTGTTTGCTATATGGGTGGTGATTTTGTGTGATTTGTGCTACTGGATTCTAATCCTAAAAAATGCTGAATCCACACCACTCCCAGAGATTTTACACGGTCCACATGGTATTGGGGTAGTGGGTACTCCGCACCTCTCAGAATTAGGCTTCTGGGGAGCTTTTTTCAACAAATTTATCAAGTGCTTTACCCTTGTCTAAGAAGTCTTGTAATAAATCACATCTATCTCTACTACTTATTTGAGAAAACATGTGGGGAACTTGTTGGAAATAGTAATCTGATGCAACGTGATTCTCAGTATACTGGAGTCTTCTTGATGCTTTGCAGTAAATTTTCAATATTCCTTAGATTAGTTGAACTAAATCTACATTTTTACACTTGAACACACATTATTCATATAGAACTTCTCAACACTTCCTACAATGCATCTGATGTCATGTGGGACTGGCAGCACTTGCTGCACTTCTAGGTAAAATGTACAAGTGAAAAATAAGAATGGCCATACTGGGTCAGACCAATGGTTCATCTAGCCCAGTATCCTGTCTTCTGACAGTGGCCAATGCTAGGTGCTTCAGTAGGAATGAACAGAACAGGCAATCATCAAGTGATCCATCATCCACTCCCAGCTTCTGGCATTCGGGATGGGGGATTACCGTATCCGAGGTGGAAACAAAACTTGAACGCCTTACTGGCGCTACGTA